GCATGGAGCACGTTTATTCAGTACGGGTATTGCGGATAAAAGTGTACACGTAGGGGCCTAATCATGATTGGTCACTGTTTGTACGGTCGCTGCACACAGAGTTTTACGGCCGCACCTCCCAATCCTGGCGAGCAGACATGCAGGCATACGATGACGCACACAGCGATAACGTGTCCCACAGATTCGATTTTTTTGAAAATTGGATTCTGAGGGAAAATTTTGGGTAATTAAGATCGGTGCGGTTGTTAATTGTTGATTGAAAATGTTTTAAAATAAAAAGTTTTGAAAAAATAGGATATCTTTGTATATTTGTTTAGCATTCGTATATGTTAGATTTGTAAAACGGAAAATAGTTTATTAAAGCCTCTTCTTTAGGTACGTTATTTGATTATAAATAAACACCTAATCTTTAATTAATATAAATTGCGTGAATTTATTTGGTTTAAAGAAGATAGAAAGGCTGACTTCGTGGAGATAATAGCACTAAAACGCAATTCGCCATCATGAAATTACTTTAAAAATTACTAGAGGAATGAAATCGAAAAGGCTATTGTGAGATTAATGTGGGGAGAGAGGTTGAGTTTGAATTTTATCTTCCATATTTTTGAAAGTGCATTTGAAATTCAACACCAGATATTAAAAAGATCTGGATGACAACGGTTAGAGAGAAGAATCCCATAGTCTGCTTCTATTCAAGTTTTTCATCTTCTAGTGGCGCTACTTTCAAGTGAAGTCACTTTTGTAGGCCAATTGACGTGTTTCCTCTAAAATCCAATGATCTACCCACCCCCTGGTGGCGTATTGGACGGTGGAGATGAAAAGAAGGGGAAACGAGTGTTCGAGGGAGAGAGTTGACTCCCAAAATGATAGCGGAGTCGTGAGGATTCAAATTGGACCTCTACACAACTCGTGGTACACCATAACGTCTTTTTCATAAAAATTGCGGCGCTTGTGTTCAATAATATGACGAGTCTCTGATGAGATTCCAAAAAAATTCATCTATACATTGGCAAGGTTTATGTTTTTCAATTGCTAGGTAAACACCTGAAGAAGAACTATATTCCGGCGTATTAAAATGTCCAGTCTGTTGGAATGTTCACTACTGATGAAGAAAATGAAATTAGACCTCAACAGACTGGAAAAGTTTATTTTTCAGACCAGGTTATGGAACGCCTTATTCCAATGAATTTCGGTATGTTCCAGTTGTGATTTCCTGGGGAATAGTTAAATAATCACCGGAATTTTATATTCAATCGTGTCAAAATCAAATTCGTCAGAAGGTAGATTGACTGGTGGGTGATTGTTAATCTCATCACGGCCTAATCTGTCATCGAGGTGGTATAGCGTTGATGCGACATCGATACGGTACTTCTGATGCGCAGAAAAGCATTTTCGATTTCCAATCAACTTTTGCCCCCAGCTGTTACATTGCGCACCAAATTATATCAATTAAATTAACAATTTTTCATTCAATAATGGAAAAATGATTTTAATTATTTTTTTCTGTCCAAAATATCTTAAAAGAAAAAAACCCATAGTTGTTTAGATTTAAATAATTTAAACTTTTAATAGAACTATATGTGAGAGCCCAAATTTCCGTCAGCTTTTCATGATATGGCTGCCAACTCAAGGCTCATTGCATCAATAAATGACTTCACTTTAAATTTACTCTTTTCCTTTTGCGAACACTCATAGTGACTAATTGAAATCTTCTTTACATTAAAATACTTCGAATTCCCACAAAAAATTTTAATATGCCTGTGAAGCAAATTTGATCATTTTGCAAATGCCTTATGCTTACTTCTTCAATTGCCAACGTAGTTGAAATCAGCCATGGCGGTTCGGTTTTGTCTCAACGACTTTGGGTTCCAATTGCCTGACGATGGGCTGTCCGTCTTCACTACATTCTTGAAGGTCAAACTCACCTGCAAGGCTCGTATCCCTTCATCTGTGCAACAAGAAGAATTCTACTCTCTTGGCAGGCAAGTACATTTGTAAGACAATGGAGCACCACAAAATTATAACCAAATTTAATATGAGTTTTAAATCACTATATGGTACTAAATGTTCTAATTGAACTTTAAATTGTTCATAACTTTGAAGATTACTAACCCCAGTACAAGTTGACCAACTTTCAGAAAGTTTAACGGTGAAACGAGGTTCCAATGGAGGGAGCGTTTAGGCATTGAAAATATGTCCCTTTTTAATATTTTTAATTTTGAGGATTCTTTCGTTCATTATTGAATTGCAATCTCACCAAATAAGGAAATGTAGAGGCCGTCTCTTCTTTCTCATAATTGATTGGGTGCCCTTCTGTCAAGCAAAAGTGACCACTTCCTGCCGATCATTGGTTTACTTTTGTTATCCGATTACAGACATTGTCCTTCACGATTCAGCTGAATTCTTTTGAGTGCACCGCTATCTCATCAGAATTCATTAATTCGATGCTCATCGAAGCACCTTCTCTGTCCCATGGATTGCCAACAGCACTGATTTATTGTGGCTAACAGAGAAATGGACTTTCTTAAAATAGCTCTTAATAAACAAATGATTTCAGCACAAATCAGGATTTAATAAAACCTCTATTACTAGGTTTGGTAATTATTAGAATTTCTCATATATCTTGAGCCTACCTTCTAACAGAGCACCTCCTTGATTCTTCCACAGAATACACACAAGTATAATTGCCCAAGTGCAATAAATTAATTATACCTATAACCCAATAAATCGTTTAACATTTTAATAAAATAATGAGCTCTCCTGCAGTTACGTTAGAAATCGCACCTGTCGCTGAGTGCAAAAACGGCTCTTGTTTAGAAATAATTGCTATAATAAAAATATACATATTTATAAGACTTTTGACATGAGACTGCACAAGTGAGTCAAGAATTGGTCGTTTTACGAGAACATAGCTTCAGCTAAAATAAAGCCTTAGTCTAGCAAAGTTAAGTAAGGTTTTTAAGGTAAGATTAATTCATTAAATACACCCAGTTTATATTCAAATCATCTATTTTTTTTCAAAAATATTTAATAAACACTAAAATTCTATACTCCGATTGATTAAGAGGAGTAAAATGTTTTTTTTATTTCATTGTTGCAATAAATATGCAATTATTGGGTTGGCAACTAAGTCATTGTTGACGGATTCACTCTATACTTTCTTTTGTTTTGTTAACGTGGCCAGAGCATCTAACCTATATTTTTCTTACTGTATGGACTTCTAGGTTAATTAGTAAAAAATTTTTTTGTTTAGTTCTTTAGTTTCGTTTTTATCCCAATTTAAAAATGAAAGAACAGGACGTGCACTTCCGACACATTTTATTGTATTACTCCCGAAAAGGCAAGAACGCATCGCAAGCACTAAAGAAGTTATGTGCCGTATATGGAGATGAAGCCTTAAAAGAAAGGCAGTGTCGAAATTTTTTTTGAAAGATTTCGTTCCGGTGATTTTTCACTGAAAAATTCACAACGATCTGGCCGCCCAGTCGAAGTGGATGAAACCCATATCAAGGCCATTATCGATTCAAATCGTCACAGCACAACACGAGATATTGCAGAGAAGCTCAATGTGTCGCATACATGCATTGACAAAAATGAAAAACCCTTGGTTATGTCAAGAAACTTGATTTATGGATCCCTCGCCAGTTAAAGGAAATTCATTTGACGTAACGGATTAGCATCTGTGATTCGCTACTGAAACGCAATGAGAATGATCCATTTCTGAAGAACCTAGTTACTGGCGACGAGAAGTGAATAGTTTATAACAATGTTACTCGCAAGAGATCATGGGTGAAGCAAGATCAACCAGCCCAAACAGTATCAAAAGCAGAGATTCACCAAAAAAGATTATGCTGTCCGTCTGGTGGGGGGATCACAAAGGAATTTTGTATTTTGAACTCATGCCGCAGAACCAAACGATAAATTCAAATGTGTATGGTGAAGAACTCAAAAAACTGAAGGATGCCATTGAAGATAAGCGGCCGGCATTATCAAATCGGCGGAAGGGTGTTGTTCTCCATCATGATAACGCAAGGCCCCCTCCCCACATATCTTTGGTTACTCGGCAAAAATTATTGGAACTGGGTTGGGATGTTTTGTCACACCCACCATATAGCCCTGACCTTGGGCCTTCGGATTATCATTTGTTTCGTTCCATGCAAAATTCTTTAAATGGTAAAATTTGTAACAACGCGGATGATGTCGGATCACACCTAATTCAGTTTTCCAATAGCAAAGACCAGACATTTTACGAACGGGGAATTTTTACTCTGCCAGAACGATGGAAAAAGGTCATCGACAAGAACGGCCAATATCTAATTGAATAAAGTTATATTTTTAAACAAAAATTCCGAAATTGCCTTCTTATTTGAAATCGGCAATGACTTAGTTGCCAATCTAATATTATTCTTAATTTTAATTGAATTATTTGATTTCATTGCTTTGTATTGGTCTCTCTGAATAGACATCAGGAAGACAATTCAGTAGTCGACTTCGATTATATTGTCGCTAGTGGGAGTTTTGTCGGTGCCGATAAAGACCTCTACTTTGTCGGTCTCTTTGCACCAAACAAATTCGACGCACCCCTACAGAGGCTGCATAGAGCTCTCAAGGTGCCTGAAACGACAATGGCTCTTTGCATCTTTCGACAGTCCGATTTGGATTCTTTGCTCAAGGAGGCACCGCTGCTTTTTGAGACGCAAAACGAACCAATCAAAAACCTGCTAGCGGTCAACTCTACGGAGGTGGGAGGAACGATCGAATCCTCGAGGTTCATGAGAATCAACGCGAGTGAAAAATATCTCAATTCATTTCAGGTGTGTGTATTTCTACTGATATTGCAAAACTTGAGCATAAACGCCTATATGAAATCAAAGAAATGTGATAATAATTTTTTTCGAAAACAGCTGTCATTTCTCTCATTAAATTCATTTGTAAAAATTGTGCAGACGAAATATTTGCCACAAGTAAAACGGATTCGTGTGCATGTTAACTTAATGCAAAATGATACACAAAGTGTCTACAAATTGATTTTCATGCCAACTCTATTAATTTTTCAAAAAATTAATACTCAGCCAAATATTTTATGCAGATATGGTAATTGGATCTAATCTAAAAGGTAATTAATGACTATCTTTAAAATATAATTTGATTATTTAGTGTTGCTTAGGATTAAAAAGTAACATTTTGAAAAAGTAGAAAGTTGAAGCTATTAAAAGGTTTACTGATTGACAGCATATGAGATGGAAGTAAACAGACTTACAATCCACTTCGTCGTTCCGTTTCGTTGAATACCTTCAAAAACAACTCCTCGTGCCTGAAAATTGAGTGCAACAGGAATTTCGGTGCCGACCCGCACCAACTCCCTCCAGTACCGCAAATGAACGAGTCCGATCCTCTGTTGTCAAGGCAACAGGGTGGCTTATGACCCCATTAAGTAAAAGCCGCACAATGCTGGAATAGAACACAATTTCCGTCTTCTAAGTCATGGCTGAAAATTTAAGTATGAATTTGATTGAATAATTGACGATGTGGTAAAAAAAACAATTAAAGTTTATTGTCGAAGAATAGAAAGACCAAACCAGGTGTGAAATGATGCAATCTGTGGTTAGTTATCAGAGTAAGGAATAATTCTTCAACATGGCATTGACCGCCACCTCCGCGCACAAAGCAAGAATGACCTCCCAAAATGTTGAGGAATTGGCTATGAAATCTTTCAGATATCTTTCAGACTTGCCGGACATCGCTCCCTCTTCCTCATCAACTGTTCAGTTGCATGAAGTATTTTCAAAGGAAATAAAAAAATTTGCAAGCACAGTTGAGGCAGAAATCCACCTAAACAAGGATTTTAATTCTTTTTTTTTAAAATAAATGCAAATTTTAGGATTGGATCAAAAAATTATTAGAGTGCGTAGAAAGGGTTGCGAACGATGGTGGATTAAAAATAGTTAAATTTTTATTGCTGTTTTTTTAAATGCGATATTTTATACTGATATTCCTGATTTTCAGAAACGATTATTTGAGTCCAAAGTGGCAAAATTAGTGTCGTTGACTTGACAAACATATTGTTATTATGAATAAGCAATAAAATCTTCAGATTTAATTCCCAGGTCAAAGGTCATTTCGTTGGAGTTCAGTCAGGGTCACCGATATGAGGAATTTGAACTACAATTAGTGAGTGATGAATAAGGATCAGTAAAAAAGTGAACCGAAATTCCAAAAATTGGAATAAAAATTGTCGCGTATTGTTCAGTGTATTGAATAATAAACTTAAATGTGGACGCAGTGGGTGGGTAAATAATAAACGCGTGTCCGCAGTTGAGGTGTGTGTTTGAGAGAGAGAGAGATAGGGAGAAAGTGAAAAATTCATTTGAGAAAGAAGGCGCGCTTGAGGAGATGAGTACAGGCGAACGCTTTTGAAGGAGATGCACCAGTCATAGACAGAAGGAGACACCATGAACACGTCCAGATATGACTGGTTGGAGCTTGAGGCAAAGGAAGATAAAAGCAAAATTATTTAGGAAACTCTAAAGTGCGTCTTCCTTCGTATTTTGTTATTTCACATAGCCGCATTCAATAAATGTGGCAGGTCGGTGAAATTAATGTTAGAATTGTACACTTGTGTCCAAAATACCACGCAAATAGTACCTAAAAGTCGATGTCATTTATCATGATATCGTAGACCCACCAACATGTATTTATCTTTTACTTAGTTTTAACAAATTTGAAAAATTCTTAGAAAATAGACCATGCATTCATAGTTCGGATGGAGAATCAGTTTTTTTCGAAATAAGTCCTAGCTTAAAACAAAAATGACCAGGAATAATCGCAACATTATACTTGGATGTGTAGATTTCTGCCAACATTCTCGAAGATTCATTAGAACGCTAAAATTAACCAAGTTATACAAAGTCATTTTAACCATTCGTTAATAAATCTCTTTGTTTAATATTGATAGATTGGCGAAAATATTCAAAAAAGCAAAACCGATTTTTTGTATACAAACTGTAAAAAATTAAAAATTTTAAATCTTCGTAATTTAAAATCAAAAAATGTTTTAGTACGACAGATTTACATTTTTCGAATAATACTCTACATGATGAAATTTTTTCCACCAGCAATGAAAGCAAAATAATATACCTTCATGTTCAAATTGATACACCATAAATTTGAAATTTGCTTACATAATAACGGTAATTTTCCAGAGTTCACTTTCTATTTTGGGCTTGGATATAATTTATTATATAGTCTGAAAAAGAACTTTTAGCACAAGAGAATGGAACATTTCCCTTAAACATACCAATTTTTTCACAAAAATTGGACTAATTTTGTTATATTTTTTTCTTTTATGAAAGTAACTGAATTAGTAATATCAAAGTAGGAATACCTGTGCAGTTATGATGAGCATGCTGAATTGATATGAAGCCAGATTAGTAAATCAATCATAGGGAAATCAGTAAATTTCTTTAAACTTGTTTATGTCAGCATTGCAAAAGGACAAAGAAGCACTCAACGATAAGGGGCCTTTTTGTTGAGACGCCTTGGAAGCCGACGGACAATGGTGAGGCTTTGGCGGTACTTCAAACAAAGGAGCGATTCGTTGCAATTCTGGTGGAGAGTGTCGACAGCTTCTCGGATCTGCCACGGCGGAAATTGACTCAAGGACGCGCTGTTTGTATTCTTTACGCTCTTACGGGTAAGAATGCACAAGAGAGACAGAATTTGGTTTCAACTTGACACACGGGGATATATATATATATATATATATATACATAACGTTGACCATAATTATTACCAATGGCAAATTCTTTAACTTAGTTTTAAAGAATGATACTGTCTTCCAGAATATGTTTATTGTCAATTACTTTAGATCAAGAAATAAAATAAGAATAGATAAATAAAACTTCATATTTGGTGCCTGAAATGGCCACCCGAATATTACCATGATCTTCAGTTTGTCATTTTTTAATTTAAAAAATTTGTTTCAAACGAAATTCCAAAGTAAATTTTTATTATGCACAACATCCTGTAAAATAAATTCAACTAATGCCGCTCAGTAGGTTGAGTTATTGTGCCAATTAACTACCTGAGTTCGTTCAGATCACATATCGATTAATTTCCATTTCTCAAAATGTTTGAATTGTAACCCTGAATGCGAAACTGATTTACTTTATAAGGTATCAAAATGTATTTCGGTTAATACAATTTTTGGGGAATATATTTTGCCATTAAATATAATTTGCTCCGCATGAAGCATTGCGATGGTTTAGTACTTTATCCATCTAATCGTCTATTTCTCTTAAGCTGTAAGGAATTGAGGCTTCACTTGATAATTTCCATTTATTGCTTATCGCTATAATTTTTTAAAATGCCATTTCTGGTACTGAGTGATTTGAATTTGGATGTCATTTAGATTAATGAGTTCCAGAAATTTATTACTTTACTTCTCCTACTTTTATAATGATCAAATTACTAAGGATAGTATTTATTTATTTGTTTATATCAAATGGCAGGCGTCTTGTTGGTTATCATTAGCCCTTTAGTTGACTTCAGACTTCATAGAGGAGAAGGAACATCAAATTGAAAATTCGAGAGTGGAGGAACAGAAGAGTATTTTAAAGATGTAAAAAAGACAGGCACAAAGGTAGAAAAAAGGTGAGGTGAGTACTGTGAAAATAGTCGAATATGGCGTAGAGTGAGGGGGTGGTAGTTTGAAGTCAAGAGTCAATTGCCAGTTAATAGACTTTTATGCCGTATGGGTATACGTTGCCCAGGGTGCACCACGTTGAGGTAAGTCTATCGCACACCCCTTACTAAGGATAGTAAGAAGCCATCGGGACTCCTGTTCGTGGAAATACACTTCACCTCCCCTGGACTCAAATGCCACACCAATTGAGCTCATTGTTGTGTTAGGGGTGGGGGGGGGGGAAGCATAAATTTCGACAGAATTGAGTCATTTGGCGGCTTATTGAATTCACTGAATTTGTGGAAATTGCAAACTGAGGCCTCCTTGTTGTTTATCAAAAGAGCGTCAGTCCTCCAGTGGTATTTCAATTTCAAGCGATATTTTGCATCCTCATTTTGAATCTCAAATTCCAACTGGCAGTTTTGTTAAAAAGAAGTGCCTACGCCATCTGTCGTAGCTGATTTATTTACATTAGGACTTAAGATCGTTTGAGGAGTAAATGGATAAGCAGTTTAAGCAAAGGATAACTTTAAATACGGATAAATTTGAAAGCTAGTTAATTCCCTAATTTCAAAAATGCACTGAAATATTAGTAATTGTTTGGGGTTACTAAGAATTCAAATTTATAATAATAAGAAATCGGTGTATACTTCCTTTAAACAAGTGCCGGAATTTAATCTGCTATGAAAACCAAAGTTCTGCATCAAAATGTCCTTTAATATGACGCACAAGTTGTTGTTGTTATTTTTATTTCAGAATCGTCAAACTTGCTGGTATTTTTGCTCTCGAAGCGTGATTTATTCCCATTAAAGAATTCTAATAGCAAAAACGGCTTCACAAAGACAATTGCACAGGATTTACTTCTAACCGGAGGAATTGAACTGCTCTTCTCTGTGATGCTATCACCTCAATTTCTTTCCTCTTCTATTAACATGGAGTTCACGGCTTTTCGGGAGATCACGATTGCGGATGGGCAAAAACTGGGAGTCATCGATTTGCAGAACTGCTTCACAGCATGGTCAGTACTGCATTCTTTGTGTCTTAAGTAATTGCATTAATAAATTTCCCCTGCTGTAATTACAGTAAAGAACTTTTATGAGAGGATATTTACTTAATCAAGGAGAGTTCTTCTTGATCTATCCAAATAAAATGATTAGAACAAAGTTGACAGTCTCTTCACAATGAGTGGAAGTGAGCTTCCAATCAAAATACACATGTTTATAAGAAATTCTTTGAAGAGGGAGAATTCACTATTTTGAAAGAGGATCACGCAAAATACTCATCACTAGCATCTATTAAGACCAAAATCTGACCAATCCAAACCCTTATGCTTGTCACAAGTCTGTAACCTGGAGAAAGCTGCTTTGACACTCTCCTTTTGAGGTGTCTCAAAAAGAGGCACGTGCTCCATTCACTCGTGTCACGATCTGAGTAGGTGAGTTCAGGTGTTTAAGGGTTCATTAATGCGACTGGTGCAATCTCACAAACTGGCTGAGAACAATTCTGCAAATTTCCCTGAGTTCTGGTGGGTGGCGAATCCTGCTTCCAAAATACATGTACCATCGCATCAACTAGCCTCGTTCGATAGGCATCAGAATTCCACCTGAACCCCTCTATGGATGAGACTAAGAAGGTGGCAACACATCATTCTAGGGGGAAGTTGGCGGTCATCTGACACTCATGACAATTCGTGCAATTTTAATCTGCCCAACTCTAGGTGTGTGTTTCTGGTCCACGTGCAATCCACCTGCCCACCTTCTATTCCGCGTGCCGGGCTTTTGATTCGGGCAACTTTTCTTCAGCTCCAATAAACAAGCATTATTTTGACCTTCAGTCGAATGTTTCACCACGCTCAGAAGTTGCTTTGTCTTTGTGGGGGATTTTCTTGGCCATCTGCAAGAAATTGACCTCTGAAATGCCTATGCAACTATGTAGTTGTGAACATCTTGAAAAGCGCTGTTTGGTTCTTTCCACTCTCTCCCCTTTAGCCACGACAGCCTCGTAGCCTCTTCCTTACAAGTTTTTAGAGTTCGCGTTCAGTTTCCTTCACAGTGTTCATGGTGCACGGAGCACCGACTGCACTCTTATAGTGATTACCAGCAGGTTTCATAGTGACACAGCTTGTTCTTATCCATGATGCAGATGGGTCCCAGCAACGTGCTTATGAATGGAGAAGAGATTTTTGAATTTCAATGGAAGCTTGGGGTGCTTTTCGCCTCCACGATATCTTGAGTTAATTTAATGATTTCAAATGGCAGGCGTTTTGATATTTATCATTAGCCCTTTAGCTGACTTCGAACTGCACAGAAGGGAGGAGCATTAAAGTCACAAATATTCGAGGGGTGGGGAGACAGAAGAGTGATTCGCAGATGTAAAAAAGACAGACAGACAGGCACAAAGGAAGAGAAAAGGTAAGGTGAGTACTGTGTCCTAATGTGAGGTCATGGTAGTTAGAAGTCAGAAGTCAACTACCGTTTTATGGACATTTTTGCCGTGTGAGAATACGTTTTTTGAACGCCTATATATATTATTTATTTATTTCAAATGGCAGGCTTTATGATATTTATCATTAGCCCTTAATCTTTGACTTCAGCCTCCCCCAAGAGGGGGGGGGTACATTTATAGCAGTTAATTAATAGCAGTTCATTAACTGTCTTCTTGCTTCCCAGTATCTTTGGCTTTCCGTCCTTGTCTTTAGGGCTGGACACCGAATCAGGTGGGTCTTCTCCATTTCCTCATGTAGGTTACATAGAGGGCATGTGGGTTGAGTGTATACTCCCAATCTGTGAAGATGTTTTGCCAAGCAATCGTGTCCGGTACGTAGTCTAAACTCAGCAACGGCTTCGATTCTTGGCCAGTCGAGTATGTCGGAGAGTGCCACTGTCCACTGTTTCTCCTTTGTTCGAGCTTTAATTTCGTTGCACCTTGAGGTATGGAATTCTCTCCTGATTAAGGCCTTCATTGTGTGGAAAGACATCTGGTGGTCCATGCATTGCAAAATCGTTGTCCCCTTCTTAGCAAGTGTGTCAACTACATCAATGTCTGCTAATGGGTTCATGGGGGGAGAGAGGCTTTTTGGTTTGTCATCGATTTGTAATGCTTTCTTCAGTTTTATGGCTTTCTGTATTAGACCAGATTGCGATTTCAGATGTCTTGGTCTATTCTCATAGGTGCTGAAGAACTTATCCATGGGAATGCGCAGTAGCTTCTCATACAGGATCAAGGCCTTCTCTTTGATAAGGGAACCTATTGTGATGCTTCCTGTTGCATCAATGGGTGTTGATTTTATCCCTCCAGTAATTAGTCGTAATGCTTGGTTGTGTGCCTTCTCGAGGGGTTTGAGAGTCACCTCTGTGGCTGTAATGAGTGGCTCACAGCAATACAACATTATTGGCTGAATAAACATCCTGTAAGTGGTATTTAGAGTTGAGCGCGCACAGCACCATACGCTACCAGCAAGACGCTTCAGTACATTCAGTCTATTGGAGACGCGTTCTGCTATTTTAGCAATGTGACTTTTCCACGTTAACTTTGTGTCAAACGTCATTCCGAGATATGTGAACTCA